GGCTTCAACATTCCTGTTGTGGAAAAAGCGGTCTCAATTGAGATTGAACTCCGCTCCTCTTTTGGACCCCTACGACTTCCCCTTTGCTTTTTCCACAAAAACGAATTCTAGCTTGCCTTCCGGAGACCCTGCCGCCGAGGCTGTTTCTAAACAATGGCTGGTAATTGCACAGAGTAAAGCATGCAACATTTCGAAATAAATTTTTTGATCTAGAAACATCTTGGAATGACAAGACTGGCATACAAGAGCCATTTCATCTGCTCTTTATTGAATTAGCAGTATCTCCTTAACTCTAGTGTACGCGATGACTAAAGTAAAGGTAGGCCTATAACAACGTATGGATTTTAACAAGGCACTATCGGTAGAGTGGATTTGACGTTTGTAATTAGCATACCAATTGACTCCCCTATTTTCCAGTCAACTTTTGAAGCAAATGTTTGCATTTGCTCATCCACTCTTTTCCACGCTGTATTAAGTCCCTATTCCTCCGTGATGGTTTAACGACTCATCGTGGAGCGAAGGTGACTCTGGGTGCCGAACTGCGAAATACAGCGGAGGTTCAACCTCCAGCACGGTCTCCCAAGCTGAGAAGGAGCTCGACGTTTCCGGTCCCCGGATGCCCAGCTAAGAGTAGGCTTTGCCAGAAGCATCACCGTCTGGCTGATTCAGCCGCTAGTGGCTCCCTGATCCACATAAGGTCAGCGATTGCCTGTAGGAAAGCTTGGCGGGGCCCGGGCAAGGCTCTGCTTTTGTTTGCGGAGAAGTCCTTTACTGTCCGTACGCAAGAGAAAAAGAAGCCCTGCACACTTGATCACATCTACGGCGTCGGATATCATCCCAGTGTCAAATTGCACAGGACGCCATGAATTTCGGACGAAAAGGATTGGTCAACGACTCGCCATGGAGATCGTGTCATGCTCTGCACCTACAACGTCAGAACAGTCCCCGCCAACGCCGATCTTCACGAGCTTCTCGAAGCATCAACTATCACGTAATCTTGCAGGCAGTCAAGGAAAACGGACGTGGAGCACCTGAGTGATGGCACATTCCTCATTCGTGGTGAAAAGGTCCATTACGGAACCTTGGAGGCGCTGGATTTGTCGTATACCCATCTGTTGTCCATCTTGTCGATTCGCATAGATCCTATCACCTTGCCTGGCTATCCTTCGACTCCGTCCTCTGCATCAGAAGTTACCACTATCATCAACTGCTTTCGCCAACATCAAAAGCTAATGATTCGGAACTTGATGCTTTTTACGAGGATTCGGAGGAAGTCATCCGCAAAGAAAACTCCTTCTACAAGTTCGTACTTGGTGATTTCAATGCGAAACTCGGGATACCAGAAGGAGGGGAGCACAAGATCGGGAGATATGGATCAGGACTCTAGAATGAGGATGGTAACCGTCTCGTTGGGCTCTTAGCGCACGACTTTTTCATGGCAACTCCATTTTTATGAAGGAAGAACCGACGGTGGACATGAGAGTCACCCAACAGTACGACTCATGCGTAGATTGACCACATTCTCGCCAACCAAAGGTGGTGCTTAATGGACGTCCCAGTGATAACATCCTTCAGTAGTGGCTCAGATTACGGCCTCTTTCGGGTAAAAGTGCGATTCAGCCGAAAGCTGAAAAAGAAGATCTGCCACTGTGTTGGAGGGAGCAGAGAAGTCGTATATGATGGCGTCAGATTGGAGGAGCTCCTGACCACTTGCGTCTGGCCCATCGATGAGGACCCGACAGAAGACTACGATCTGATTCTTAGAGGACTGAGAGCCTGTGGTGAAAGTGCCTCAATGCTTCGCACAAAGAACTTGGAACGAATTTCGAAAGCCACCAAGGATCTGCTAGAGAGAAGAAGAGCACTGAAGCTGGATCTGCAGCACATCTCGAGCACTGGTAGCTAATACCAGTTGCAGAACAGCTTTGCAAGAAGTCTTCGAAAGTACAGGCAATCGAAACTTTTGGAAGCAGCACAAGAAAAGAGAAGCCTAAAAAAGTACCGCAGGGACCTTCCTACCGTGTTCCGCTGACAACATGACTAACCAAAGATGGGATCGCACATTTTTCCAACAAAAGATAGAATCGATCACGAAAAGATTCTACACTAATCTTTTTCGCTTATCAACACCCGTGTCCAACCCCGTTATTCCCACTAGAGAGATACCACCACGGATTCTACCTGCTGAAGTACGTGCCGCAATCCAGACTATGAAGCCAGCCAAGTCCGAGACCGGACCACGTTTCGGCCGATCTCTCACAGCCTGCAAGACGTCGCCTGCACGAGATACTTACGGAATACTTGACGTCTTACCTTCAAAAGGAAAGGATCACCGACCAGTGGAGAACCTCCCAAACAATGTTTCTACATAACAAAGGCGATAGTGAGAATCTGCGAAACTACCATTTAATATGCCTTCTGAGCGTGCTTAACAAGCTCTTTACGAAGAATGCTCGCATATCAAGGACACTGGATAAAGCTCAACCTATAGGACAAGCTGGATTTCGCAAGGGATTCAGCTGCGTGGATCAAATCCAGGCAGTTTCAAGGATTTTCGAGTTTGTCGAAAGTACCGCTTACCTCTTGTCCTCACCTTCGTTGACTATTAAAAAGCGTTTGACAGCGTCGAGACTAATGCCACGCTGTTAGCACCCCGGGGTGGGCCCATCTTACGTGAGGACAATGACCAATGCTACAGGAACTGCTCCACAACGAAACAGCTTTTCCATGGCTCCCTTAATATACCGATTTCGAAGAGGATTCGAAAAGGCGACACCGTGTTGCCAAAGCTGTTTACCGCCGCGTTGCAGTGGGTGATGAAATCACTGGATTAGAATAAGAGAGGTATAGAGTTGATGGGAGATTCCTCTCGAACCTTCGTTTTGCGGACGACATTGTTCTCTTCTCGAGAAATATCACTGAAGCGGAGACGATGTTGAAAGAGCTAAACGAAGGAAGCGGCTGGGACTGCGAATTAACGGAAGAAGACTAAGTTCTAAAGATCCTTGCGAGAACCAGGAAATGGAATTGGAAGGCTCGCCAATCGCGGAGACGCCTTCTCACGTATATCTCGAACGTCCTATGAATATGGAGAACGATTTGAAAAAAGAAACTAAGTAGGAGGCGAAGAGCAGCTTGAGACGCCTTTGCGCCCCTAAAAGAAGCCACAGATCAACCACGGACCCAGAGGTCCGAGCCCACCTGTTCGATTCAACCGTTTTCCCTGCGCTCTGTTACGGAGCAGAGACGTGGCATGACACTGTGGCTACGTCAAAGGCTCTCCGAACAATCCACAGCGCTGGAACGACGTCTTTAGAAGTACAATCGACGCACTCAATATCTTGTCGGACTTCGCAGTTCAGACATGAGATCAATGTCTCGTCTTCGCGATCCAGCGGAGTACGTCTCTAAAGCAAAGCATCGATGGGCTGGTC